TAATGTATTTGGCAATTAATAACACAAAATTACCGTAATCATTGTCGTCTTCATACAGAGGAACCAACTTATCAATCATTAAAATARAAAGGGTATAAATTGTAAATTTGGAAATTTTGAATGTTACACTTGTATCAATCAAAACCTTCTACCCATATAACATCGGTTGGTCTCTCATTTCTCTTACTTTCAAAGTGTCTATCATTTAAATTTTAAACTATGCTAAAAGAAACCACAATGATAGTGTATTGGCCTGTTCCTAGTTATTCTGATTATAGATCTGTACGCTCTTTTTAGTTTATATTRTTCTAATAGTATTCTACTCTAGCAACCTCCGGAATAGTTCAACCTCCCTTGTATGTTTGCTCTCTTAGTTCATGAAGCTTTAATATTTGTATATCACAAAGAATGCCTTCTTTCAAGGATCTTAATAAGGTTTTCTTTGCAATTTCACACGTGGTCTTTTTTAGGTAGTTAGAGCAAAACTATAGATTTTTCAGGGGGGTCAAAAGAAATACTAAAATGATCAAAAGCTACATTCTTAATACGGCAAATTACACCAAGGAACGTACTTTAATTGCATTTTAGTGAATCAACTTTTTTCTCATTTTAAAGAACAAAAAAATTCGATCAACAAATCATTTAATGCCAAGTTTTGAAACTGGGTTTCTTAAAATGAAAGTTTTGAAAGTATATATATATATATAGACGCGTAAAATTGATTTCAATTCAATGGATTAGAAAGCATTATTTTATTAACTATATTTTTTGTTGACAATATATTGAAACAAATGAGCAGTCAATGTTTAGAGGACCCCTACCACATACCTCAAAGATTGTTTCCCAAATGATGCAACAATACCACCAAAAGGAAGAATGGAAATTTCTATGTGAAAAAAAGAATGAGAGAGATGGTGGTCAAATAAATTTCAAGAAAAATATCATGACAAGGAATAATGAATGAGACAATGCCCCCCATTCACAAAGGAGATAGGGGTCTGATTTTATTATGTGTTATCATTTTTTTTATATTTAATAAAAACACAATTTAAATTTATATTTATATTTATATTTATATTTATATTGTATATTATAAATTTTAGTGTTATTTCTGTTTTTATTTCTAACTATTTTGTTATTATTGCCTATTTAAATTTTCATATTTTGGTTCATTTTTATATCATAAATCTTTTGTCCTAAATATTATATATTATAATTTTTTTATAAACATATATATATATATATATTTGATTAATTTAAATAAGAAAAAGTTGCACGTAAATAATGATAATAATTATAAAAATTAAATATGATAAAAACTCTAATAATTTATTTATTTATCATATATTTTATTTTATATTAAATTTGACGATGACACATTTTTCATATTGCATAAAAAAGGATAATAAAGCAAGAAAGGAGCCCCCATGCCCCCTAGTGACCAGATTCGGGTCCCCATGTGTCCGCTTGCTCCAGCATGGGTCTTGTTCCGATATTGACATCAAATATTTGAATTATCTATTTGTGTAATGTAATTAAACACACTTAAGTTTCGTTTTTCTTAATTTTATTTTATGGATCCGTGTGATTTTAAGACAAAGAAAGAGTTTTCTGTTGATTATCGGTTTTATTGAGTGTTTTACTGTATTAGTAGATAGCGGCGGATCGAAGAATTATGATGATGCGGGTTGGAGCTCTATTTCACTATTGTTAGCTATAAAACTTAAATTTAAGTTTCGACATGCTACTATAGCCTTTTGTTTTTTCGATGACAAATACACGTGGTGGCATCATTAAGCATTGTAAAAGTTACACTGAGAGATAAATATAGTGGTGGCCCTTACTAAGGGGTCGTTTACCAAACACTTATCAGGTAAAACGTTTATCAGTAAGAGTCATCACTCTTAATTACCCTATCGGTAAAGTTCATGGCATAATAAACATAACATCCTCAAATCTGGAAAGAACGACTAATTTAAAGTTTTCGATAAATAAGTAATAAATTCATTTCCAAAACTTAATACTCACCCAAAATGTGAATAAAGGTTAATATTAAAAAAGAAAACAATGATAAAGCTCTATTGTCCAAAACAATAAAAAAACATGGATAAGATCCAATACTCAAAACCACAAATCATATATAGCACTCTCTATATGTTGATCTTCTCTCTCAATGATTTGATAATGATTTTTTTTATCTATCGAAGTTTACTATCTCTGTATTCAGCTTCAGCGATTATCATTGAGTCTGTTCAGTGATCGATGAACATATATTGTAAATCCTTCAGAGACAAGTATTCTTCAGGAAGACAAAACTCACACCACAGAATCTTCAGCGATATCGAAGATAGAAGCTGAAGATAGATACAAGCAAGTTCGTGATCTGATGCAGTTTTTAGTGATAAAAGTCTCGTCTACAAAAGTGTGAAATCTACACAAGGTTCAACGAACACTGAAGATACCTCAGCGTTATTCCAGTGTTAATGATCAGATGAATCTTGTTGAACAAGATTAAGTTTTTGTCTTGTCCTTCTGCACACAAAGGACAAACTCATACCTCTCAAAAGTAAAATGTTGTACGAAGTCAGTCTACTGTCTCCATGCATGCTAACCTACTTTATGAAAGATGTTGTTCATATACGGCTAAAACCTGTATATCTGCAACAAAGGACAAACTCACATCTTGAAGCTTGCCATGCGCTTTGTACCTTCTGAATTGCCTGTAATGCAATGGGTATAAATAGTTGAGAAACTCTCTCTTCTCAGCAATCTTCGTCTTCTCTATCTCATGACTTCCACTATAACCAGTGAAGAGCACAAGACCTTCTTAACCTATTTCTTTTAGCAAGTCTTTTCTTTATTGTTATATGTAACTTGTGTGTATCTTTGATTGTTTAGATAAATTATGTATTATATCTCTTCCGCAAACAATCTTTAAATTTATGTATTGATCTTCTTTATCAATATAAGTTTTTTAAAAGTGAAGATTGTTGTGTTTGTATTCATTCCCCCTTCTACAAACTGTTACCTATAAACTCTTGTAGATTCGGCTGGGACCAACAAGTGGTATCAGAGAAGTGTTTGTCTTAATGTTTATCATTGTCTTTTTGGTGTTTTATTATTCTCTTCTTTCTAGATAATTTATTTTACTTTTCAAATGGTTTTGCAAAACACGAGCATAAACTTTCATGATAATGACTTTCTTGCCAAATCTCCCCGATTCATCAGACACAGCTTCAGTCTCTGGAAGAAACGAATGTCTCTTTTCTTAGAGGGTGTAGATCATGAGATTCCATACTACATTGAAAATGGACCCTATGTTCCATTTGCTATCTCTCCATTAGTTCCTGCTACTGCTACAACTGCGCAGTTCCTGAACGACAGATTACGGAGATCCCTCATCGATGGAGTGGCAAAGACAAGAAGAAAATGGCTTTAGATACTCGTGCTAGATCTATAATGGCCATGTCTCTTCTTGATGAGGTTTACCACTCTGTGATTAAGATTAAAACCTCGAAAACCATGTGGGACGCTCTTTGTGTTCAATATGAAGGTACTTYTGAAGTACAAGAATCAAAAAAGATAAATTTAGTAAGATTGTAACACCCCCGTCCCATGTGGTTAAAGACGGAAGATGCCACAATTGGTGTTAAAAAATTCAACACATTATATAAAATAGAGCAATTAATAATTTACCAAAAGATAATTGTATAACCACAAACGGAGATAACGTGTCTCAAAATACAGTCTAAATTACCAGTATATCTACATTAGTCATCAAAAGTTAACAAAAATATGACCTAATGGGTTATCATTAGTATTATCATCTCCGTAACTCTAATCCTAAAATCTCTGCTAAGTCATGTACTTGTCGAGAACAAGAAAATCTTGACTGAGCTTAATGCTCAGTGAATGGATAATAGTAACTAAACAAAGAATATGAGATAACAAGTTCAAAAGCATTTTATAATGTTAAATGATAATACAAAAGAAAGTAAAAATTCCCCAAAGGCATGTCAAGGGTCCGAAGACCAAACCTCATCACGATGACGCGTTGTTCCTAAAGAATGTTTAGTCCTTTCGGGCATGAGTGAGGAAAGGGGTGCGAGCACAACACAACAATCCTCTCCGTGAATTTAACCATTACCATAGTTTATTATCCGATAATGGTTCCTAGGATCGATCCATACACCCTTTATTCAACCAGTACATAATCAAGTCCACCTTTAAGGACTATATAAGTGAGGACGCCAATGATCGTTTTAGCCACCATGAAAACATCTCAATACCATTTCCCCCAATATTGAGTCTATAGTAAAATGGTTCACAATAGATGAAATCTAACAAGTCAAGTGATCAAAATAACCTATGTTCCCAATAAGAATGTAGCTATTTTGAAAGGAAAACAAAAGCTCAATTGCATTTGATGAGCACAATAAGAATTTGTTACCAATGTATTAGGATGAGGAAGCCTTATACAAATGGATATCCCCGTATCAAGTGAGGTATTATATTCGTACGTTAACCGAACTTAACAATTAACGCACGATCAAACATAAATTCATGATCAAGTTTGACTTGTCTGCGTGCCTAACAAATGCATAAACGGGTTATTATGTCATCACCACTGTCCTCGATAAGATGCATGAAGTGCACCAGGAAACGCCCTCCAAGGAAGATCTGACTTACATCCTCTCTTAAAGCAGAGCTGAATGCTGTGAACACGGAAGTTTAGAAAAATTATTTAGTTGTTGCTGCACTCTCCAGCAAAGATGAAGATGTTCAGGTCCAACTTACTAGGCATGGTGAGCTCCTTGAACGAATCTATAACCCCTTCAGCAACCAACACCTGTCCCTGAACCTGTCTTTAAAGAAGCTGATCGTTAACAGTTGGACCACGTTGCTGCATTCAAACCTCCTTCAAGCTGAAGTAATCTCCTCCATTGAGCAAGGGATGGAAGACTTTACCTCTTGCCTCCCTCTCCCTGGTACTAATGCTGATGACGACAAAGAGGGGGGATAATGGGGAAAAAGGTACTGAGGGGGAGACTACTGAAGATGCTTTGAACCCTCCGGCTAAGGATGCCAAGGAACCTATCTCTGAGGCCATCAATGATGATGATGATGATGATGATGCTGTGTTACCGCTGCTGACCATGAAGACCTTCATCCTTCCACTTCTGCATTGCCAAATTTTAGTGATGAAGATATGATGATGATGAGGATTCTGAATCTCAACTTCTAGATGTAGGTACTGATCTAGGTGGTGACGGTGACGATGACGATGATGACGCCGATGATGATGATTTTTGCATCCAAGTCATTTCAAGACAACTAGAAAAAGGAATTTCTTTCAGAGAACCTGCTTCCCAAGGGGAGAAATCATCAGGGAACCATTAATCCACTGGAAAAGGCAAAGGAGTGGCTGAAGACGACCTTGCCCTAGTTCTTGGGACAGTTAGTGAATTTGAGGTTGCAGACTCTTCCAGGTTTGTACCTCTTTCCTCAGAAACTGAAATTTCTATCCATATCCCTCTATATCTCTCTGCAACATACACTCTCGATCTCTTAATCCATTTCCTATATTTTTTTTAAACCCAAGAGAACGATGAAGATGAAGCCAACACTCTGATACTTAGGAAGTCATCTAGACAACATGTGTGTTCAGAAGTTAAAAAAGACCAAAGAATGGCTCAACTGATAAATCAACTAGACCAATCTAGAGTAAAAATTCTTATTCGTATCTCTAAATGTGGTGAGGTCGGTTTTCTTTCACAATCTGAACGCGAAAAATCCCTATGTGCTGAATAAGAGGTGAAGAAACATCAGCAACAACTTAAAGATAGCTTGGAGTTATCCAAGACTCTAACTGATCAGGCACTTGCTGAAGGAAAATTCAAGAGGAAAGATCTGCTCAGTGCTTAAGCCCAGCTGTTACTAGAATCTAAATAAAAACGTCAACAAGTGCTGAAGCTAGAGGATCGTGACCTTAATTGATGCAGAGAAAGGATCAAAACAAGGATGAGTCCACAAAAAATCACACACAAAACTATCAGTGATCGTGTGAAGATAGTGCTCAGCTTATTTCAATGGTCATTTTGTGAGAGAACAAATATGTTGTCATTGAGTATCCCTCCTTCGTCAGTCAGTATGGCTCGAGATTCGACAGGCTATCCAAAAATCTAAATCCAAGCACAAGCCTTACGTTGAAGAAGTTTTGAATGAATTATTCAACAATGTGTCTAAGATCATCGAGGATCCTCCTCTGCCACCGAAGCCCTCTCGAAGAAAGAACCTTTCTGTCCCTGAAGATGGTCTATCCAAACAGAACGAGCATGAAACAAAATTCTCAGTGGATGAACTCTTTAAAGCTCAAAAGAAGCCATATATCTCAATGCTGAATCTGTCATTGCTTGAAAAGGATCATTATATACCTAACACAGTGCATATGAAACCTGAATATGGACTTATGTTCATTGACTATGATGGTCAATACAGGTTTCAGCAAGTATCTGAGTTCCATCTCTGCCCTATAAATCACTTAGAATATCTAAGAACTTGGCTGAAGGATGATCTAATTGGAGAGATGATGGATCACAGGATTCGAAAGGAAATGCTCAGACAAAAGATGCAAAGGAGAAGATGTTCCAGAGTACATCAACTTCAACAACCTATATTAGACAAACCATTCAGTCTTGTAAATCTTGTATTTCTTTACTTTTGTTTCAGTGTATAGCGTTTATGTTTTAAGTCTACCAAAACTGATTGTAATCATTGTAATGTTTTCTCTTGTAAAATATTTCTATAAAATGATTGGTTCACTGAAAAAGATCCCTTAAAAGAGTAAACGTGACATGTATTTATGAGTTATATTTATCTCTTACATTCGCTGATACCTTTCTACTCAGTGAATAAGCTTTAAGTATTAAGTTATTAATATTGTGTAAGTTTATTCTTTCCTAGTAATCCTTTATAATTAAAGTAAATTTCCATTGTAAACTTTATCACTAAAAAAGATCCCAAAACAGTTAAAAGGGACAAGTATTTTACTAGTATTTTTTCTTTACTGTTATACCTTAAGAAATTACTTTCGGTTGCTTTGTCATCATCAAATAGGGGAAGATTATTGACCCTCTCTCTCTGTGATTTGATGATGATCATTTTTATCTATCGAAGTGTGCTATCTCTGTATTCAGCTTCAGCAATCATCACTGAGTCTGTTCAGTGATCGCTTAACATATATTGTAAATCCTTCAGAGACAAATATTCTTCAGGAAGACAAAACTCACACCACAGAACCATCTGCGATATCGAAGATAGAAGCTAAAGATAGAGACAAGCAAGTTCATGATCTGATACAGTTTTTAGTGATAACAAGCTCGTCTACAAAGGTGTGAAATCTACACAAGATTCAACGAATCTTCAAAGATACCTCAATGTTATTCCAGTGTCAGCGATCAGATGAATCTTGTTGAACAAGGTTAAGTTTTTGTCTTGTCCTTCTGCACACAAAGGACAAACCCATACCTCTTAAAAGTAAAGTGCTATACATAGTCACTCTACTGTCTCCATGCGTGCTTACCTACTTTATGAAAGACGTTGTTCATATATGGCTAAAGCCTGTATATCTGCAACAAAGGACAAGCTCACCTCTTAAAGCTTGACACACACTTCGTACCTTATGAATTGCATTTAATGCAGTGAATATAAATAGCTGAGAAACTCTCTCTTCTCAGCAGTCTTCATCTTCTCTATCTCAAGTCTTCCACTGTAACCAGTGAAGAGCAAGACCTTCTTAACCTATTTGTTTTAGCAAGTCTTTTCTTTATTGTTATCTGTAACTTGTGTGTATCTTTGATTGTTTACTTACGTTCTCTATCTTATCTCTTCAGCAAACAATCTGTAAAATTCTTTATTGATCTTCTTTATCAATATAAGTTTTTTAAAAGTGAAAGTTGTTGTGTTTGTATTCACCCCTTTCTACAAACTGTTACGTATAAACTTTTGTAGATACGGCTGGGACCAACATCATGCTCAAAACATCACCGAAAATATGGATAATACTTAATACCCAAAACAACACTTTTTGGTGACTAGAAAGACTTGTTTCCATCGCTTGTGATGAAGCACAAAGTTATCAAGTAGCACCTAAGATTATTTTCCTAATTTCTACCTCCTCTCAAATTTCCACCACAATATCTAAGGTCTCAGAGCCTGACCCCACACGAGTTCATCTCCACAATACCCCTGTCTTAATGTCTACTTACATACCATAAAGTTACAGCTACAATCCAATGGTCGTAGGGTTTGAATCCACATGATTTCATACCCAAAATACCCCTGATAACTTAGTGTCAACTTCACTAGGCCAAAGCCTCAAAACAAGGGTCTCGGTGCCCGACTTCTCACGAGTTCATCACCGTAATACCAGGGTCCTGGAGACTGACTCATTAAGTAATCACCTCCACAATACCCATGGTCATGGAGTCTGACCCCATATTGGTTCCTCTCTGCAATACGAAAGGTCCTGGAGTCCAACCTTAAATGGATTGTTTTCCACAATACCTAATGTCTTGGAGTCAAACTCATAAAATTTGATTTCTGTAATACCAAGACAACCATATAGATTAGTCAAGCGCTTGTCTCTAAATGAGAACATCCAAACTCTCCACTTAACAAAACGACTGACTCACATGCCTATGGATCAAATGCATTACAGTCTAAATTATATGACTCCTGGTATGCATTGATTATTCAATGTATAAGCACTCATTTTCCGTTCTTAAGATAACCTATTTTACTTTTATGTTCCAACCTTAAGGCATTTATTATCTTAAAATTTTCCATTTCTGGTGTCAGCTAAAAGTTGTGATTTACCTATTTTATTGCAATAGTAGGTTAATATCTCTTTGGACTGGATGTTTTGCACTACCAGCATTTCCACAACACTGATTGACTTATTTGCGAGGTCTTTTTGGGAAGCTTAATACAAACAGCCGTGGAACATGCATACATTCAAAATTTTTTTTTTTTGCTTAAATATCAAGTTCTGATGACTTTGCATGATCAAGATTGCTAGTGTATTTCATGTCTTAAGTAGGACAAATTAGTTAAACTTTTAAATGTACTTTTGTTGACTTTAAGCATATTTTGGCTCCAAGTTTCTTATATTTATATTATGCACCCCTCTATTAGTAGTATAAATAAAGGTGATTAGTTGTAGTCTTAGAATAAATTTCAAACAATTGTAATCTGTACGTGCTTTACATTTCCAAGTTCTTAGTCTTGTTCTTGTTTTAAATATAATTTCAGTAATTTCTTTGAATTCGAATCTTATTTTGTAACACCCCATTCCACACATTGCATGTAACATATATTTTATATATAAGAAACACATGTTTGTACACCACAAAGGTCCCTTGGTACAAGAATCTACCAGTACAAAATACATGATCTAAAAATTCAAAAATACAATCTTGTACTAATCCAGTTTCATTTGCCAAAACTATACAATTCA